GGACAGCCAATGAGAGACACTGTAGTGTATGTACAGTACAGCAGCCAATCACTGGGTTTCTCTCAACCAGTGTTGCATGCTGGCATAGTGTATACTGGAGGGATTTTGCCATGTGCTCAGACTAGCTGGGACCAGCCATGGAATAGGGCTGGGTGCTGTTCAGCATGCCCCCAAGGCTAGTCCTAAGGCCTGGGGGTGGGCATGGGCTGGTGTAAGGGAAATGTTTCCCTGAGGCCTCCAACATGGAAGAGGCCTGAGCTGCTGTTAGAGGAAGGGACCCAGAACCAATGCTGGCTCTTGAAGCATCACGGAACTCAGGGGACTTCAGGAGCATGGCCGTTGTCTTTCCTGTTGAGAATCTGTGTTCATCCTGCTCATCTGCTATTTCAGTTGCTGTCCGCTGCCCCCCAAGTGGATTAATATAAGGAAGACATTACAGTTACAATACAATTCAAGACAAGATGATTAGGAGGGCTTGGTCCATCATTGCCACTGCCAATGATGGAACCCCACTTAATGGGTAAATTCAACAACAGCCCGGCAGAAGCCTGTGGTGTTGTGCCCCCTGGGGGTGGCGTCCCAGGGGTGCGCAGAAAGTCAGACTCACTGATGCACTTGGTCACACACCACCTTGCATTTTCTGCACATTGCCTCTTGGACAGGCCTCATGGCTAGTCCGGGGCAATAATTTTGCACTCCGGCCCCTAAGGCCTGTCAGCGTGGTGCACTGGCACTTTAGTATTATTTATTGCACTCTAAAACCCAGAGATTGCGGAGGGTGTAGGTCCTTCGGGGCCTTTTCCCGATGTGAGGGGGAGATTCTGTGCCCTAATATAGGATTCTGTCTCCCCCCAACCGGGGGGTCTCTCTTCGGGAGAGCCCCCCTCCTAGTACTGTGAGGGACCTGTTTCGGCAGGTCCCCAAAGGATCGGGGTCCACCGGCCCTCGGGTTGGTGGACCAACAGACTCAACCCCTGTCAGGAGCCTTGCGCCCCGGGGGGTCGGGAAAGTAGGTCCCTTCTTTATGGAAGGACCAAGCACCCTTGTGCACGTTTTTGTGTGCTGTGATTTCACGGTTCACTTTTTTTGTTCACAGGGGGAAGTTTGTTTTCGATGCACGTTCCACGGGCTTCAAAAGAGAGTTCTGTTTTAGTTTTTTCTTTTTTTTTCTCTCATCTCTATAGGTTGAACTTGATGGACTTGTGTCTGTTTTCAACCTAGCTAACTATGAAGCTATGTAACTATGCATATACTGTATATTGAGTATTACAATATTAATACTGTTTTTCCTTTCTTAAAATTTGTATACATTTTTTGCCACCCTCTGTATATAAGTGTAGCCCTCATCACCTTCTGTGATGTGGCTACTAGACATTTAGTGATAGCCAGGGCTGTAGTCAGCCTGGCAGGAATTATAGTGGCAGTTATCTGGTTAATTCCAGTTGTCTGGCATTGTCTGTACCCACCTGGGCGGAGTGTGACTCTGTCATATTGTGGGACAGCCAATGAGAGACACTGTAGTGTATGTACAGTACAGCAGCCAATCACTGGGTTTCTCTCAACCAGTGTTGCATGCTGGCATAGTGTATACTGGAGGGATTTTGCCATGTGCTCAGACTAGCTGGGACCAGCCATGGAATAGGGCTGGGTGCTGTTCAGCATGCCCCCAAGGCTAGTCCTAAGGCCTGGGGGTGGGCATGGGCTGGTGTAAGGGAAATGTTTCCCTGAGGCCTCCAACATGGAAGAGGCCTGAGCTGCTGTTAGAGGAAGGGACCCAGAACCAATGCTGGCTCTTGAAGCATCACGGAACTCAGGGGACTTCAGGAGCATGGCCGTTGTCTTTCCTGTTGAGAATCTGTGTTCATCCTGCTCATCTGCTATTTCAGTTGCTGTCCGCTGCCCCCCAAGTGGATTTACACTGCTATGCCAACCAGGTCTGGTGAGTCTGGAGCTCTTGTCAGTTACGTCTGGAAGCTTAGAATCCCTATATCCTCTCTCCACAGTGAAGATACACCATGTTCAATAAAACGTTATTCTGCATTATACTACTGGTTTGGACATCAGTTTGTGGGCACTAGAAGAAGGGCGGGTAATGCTAATGGGTAGGCAGCTGAAGAACATACCCTAGACAGACTAGAGATGAACCAGGCATTCAGTGGCTCCTTCAGGGGTGAGCGCTACATATGGTAACAAAGAAAGCCCTTTTATTAGCCCAAATTAACTTTGATGATATTTGCACTGAAAATCTGGCTGTGTGAAGATCATAAAACCGCTCCTTTTCCAAATAAGCACAAAGTCATAGAAATGTTATATGGCAATATGGTTTTCTATTCATCACAATCACATTTCTATTTACATGTATATCATCTGCGCAAAAATACAACTGTGCAGCCTTTCTAAGCTTTGGCTCCCCTCTGTCTGAACATTCTCATACAAAACAAGAAGGGTATACTTTCATTATAGTTTCATAATGCAACAGACATGAGTTTTGCAGTGTTATTATTCCTTTCATTATTATAGTGTGAATGGCTAACTCATAGGTCATAGATTATAGTATCTACAATATACATGTTTTTTTTTTTCACCCCCTTCTCCTTACGCATAATTTTACCCATTTCCTGTGAGCCCCGGGATATGGTTGACACATCCCAATTCATAGTCATAGTTGGTGTTCATATAAATGTGAAATGAGAATTACAAAATTAGAAAATTAGTTGATTTTCCTTAAGCCACTGTCTTTGGTAGTTGTATAGCTAGTTATTATACTGCCATCTTGTGGGCATTTTGGTTATTGCACCATGTTTTTCAGAATTCCCTCCCCTTGTGTCTCCAAGTAGTCATTTAGTGTCATGGCTGCCTATAGCAGGACCACATGTACATGCCAGCTTGGAAACATTATCATCCTTGACCTTCAAATACCATCTGTTCATTCATCTGCTGTATCCTGTTGTCTGCTGTAACCTGCTGCATGCAATAAAGCTCTTCGAGGTATTTGGTGAGTTCAGCTATCTGATAAGGATTGTCCGCAGTGATTATATCAGCTTATACAGGCCAGGCGTAGAGGTCTCAGCAAGGGATAAATCGCTAATACAACAATCGGAGTCAGAATAACTGGTGCTGTCCTTCCTTCTGGAGGGTGGCTACCCTTTTTTTTATGTTTTTATATTGGCTTTTGTTGACAGAAATAACAAATGTGGTACAATGCATTTTTTAAAGTGGCTGTAAAGAACTCAAATGTGAAAACATTGCGTTGTAAAGGGGCTGTAATAGCTGTGATCTCTAGCAGTCTCACGTACAGTGTGTCCAGTCTATGACTGTCTCCTGAAGCCTATCTCCAGTCTCCAAAAACATTTACAGCATGTTTGGTCATGGTCATGTTTGGTCATGCATGATATCTAACCATTTCCTGTGGCATACCTGCAGTCTCTGACTAACTCTTGTATTATATCTGTGGTCTCTGACCATATCCAGTTGCATGTCTATAATCTCTGACAGCTTTCTGTAGCATTACATTCACTGAATATTATGTGTGGCCATTTGGTGATATCGAGGGCCGCACTTGAGGTCTCCTACATCAAGTAAGTTAACCACAACTGGCCCTTTAAAAGAAACCTGTGCTGAGAAAATATGTAGGCTGCCATCGCTGACATTATCAAACACTATAATGACCATACAGTGTATTTCTAACCGGAACACTCTCACCCTTTTTATTTCTCATGTGTCAATAGAAAGGGGAGCAAAAAAGAAGAGATTTTTGGAGGAAACCAATGTTCCAAAAAGATAACAAATATACTTTGTTATTATACCGCACGTTAAACGTTACTATCCCCTTTTAAAATAAATTGCCACCAGTCACAAAACCCAGGTGTGGATACAAAGACGTGTCAATAATACTCACACAATAATATTTAATATTACCCATTATCAAGGTAGCTAGTAAGAAACACTATGCACAGTCTTTGTAGACATACAGTATATTCTCAGACTTTGAAAAATGATATGATAATTTCCCGCATTATGATATTTGAAAAATCTGAGAATATACAGTATATTGCTTTACTAGTTGCCTTGCTCTGGGATAATATCATGTATATTTGTACTTTTGTATGAACATTATTAACATGACTTTGTATCCACACGCGGGTTTTGTGATTGTTGGTAAATCAATTTTAAAAGGGGATAGTAGCGGGGGAGACAAACACAAGGCAAATAATAGTTTGCAACCGAAATAGATCAACTATTATTTGCCTTGTGTTTGTCTCCCCCGGCTTTTAAATTATTATCCACTGAACATTGTTTTTTCGCCAAACTGACATCTTCATTGAAAGAGTGCTACTTGGAGAATTGTTATTTATTGCTGATTGACTCTGAAAGGCTACCACGATCTTTTGTTACACATTTCTGACTGTTGACCTAATGTAACACTTCATTATTACTTTTGTTTCACATTTTTACTGTCACCAGTTCTGTTTTTTTTTCGTTTCTCACAGTTCTTTTGACATTCATTTATTTATTTTTTCGTTTCTTTGATATAATTTTATTTAAGAATTTTATTTAAGACATTTATTGATACTTATAATCAATTTAACCTTATTTTAGGCTGAGGTTAAAATACCCAGCCCTGGTTCACTTACTATCTTCACTGGATCACTCGATTTTTCACTTAAATACTTGATTGTATTCAATATTATTATCTTCATAGTTTACACCTTTAGCGCTTTGATTTAATCTTTTTCAATTAGTGGTAACATATGTTTATCAAAGCCCTTATTTCCTTTAATACATAATGGTTTATTATAATCAGGCACTTCAGCCATGCTATAAAGTCTGTTGTATTATCTACAGGTCAAACTAGCCTTTGTGTTAGCAGAAAGCATTTCAGCTGTTTAATCCTTTTTCTTCAAGAGAACAATCATTATTAGTCAGTAGAATTTCCCAGTCCTTCCAGTTTCCCTTTACCCTCATTTATGTTAATAACAGCTTGGCAGTACATCTGGCAAGCCAGTAGAGATGGCTTCCTCTATACAGCTGCAGCTTTGCAAGCTTGCAGACATTTCTATACGGCTTTGGTGATGAGGGGGCTGTGCTGCAAGTGTTGTCACTGGTGCCAGTAAGACTAAATACAGGAAGTATAGGACAGGCAGAAATCAGGAAGTGCAGCATATACAGTGTTACTGTAACTGTTTGCTTTAGCTGAGACTACAGGTGCCTGCACTTGTTCATTGCAACACGGCATTCCACGTGCACACTGGGGTCGCTGACTGCATATCGTATCATTATACCTACAGCAAGATGAAGAATATTATCTGGTGGTGTAATAGGAAAGACACATTTGGAAAATGAAGATACTTGCCCACATGACAAGGATACTCTTTTCATTTTAACTGAAGAGGAAAACAGTTGGCGGTTTCGAAATGGCATCCAGAGGTATGTTTCATCATGCATGCACATCATATATATATTACATATTACATATATAGATAATATATATGTCACATTTATATTTCCTTTAAAGTAGACATTTCCTCCCGTGAAAGTTCCTCTTTCTTAAATCTACTTAGTGAATACGTTGAGTATACTTTCTGTTTCAAGACTGAACTCATTGCTTTGCATACGAAGAAGGACCATTTAACAATATTTCTTGTTTTATTTGCAACAAGAAGTTTTTATTAACTTTATTTTGCAACAGAGTGAACCTGCAGATCAGCTGTGTCAACTTAGACTGCTGCTGTCACTCTGGGTTCTGATGGGGGCATGCGGTGATAGTCCACAGAATAAGTCATTATATGTATTATTCTTATGTTTCCATGTAGATCCAAAAGTGCAGCCTAAAGGTCTCCATGTATATCACAATCTTTGTACAGTTCATTTCAGATATACCAAAATTATATAATTTGAGCACCTACCTAAACTATGGCAGACCCCAGTTCAAGAATTGTTGGTTGATCTAAAGATGGTACTGTCAAATCGTGACCTATGTGGTGAGCTTAAGACCTTGAAATCTCTGTTTATATGCCATGCTGAAAGAGGCATTATTTCTAACACTGACGTTTTTGTCATATTGTTTCCTAAAAGGCAAATGTCGGATGTTTCTCAACATTGAAGAAGAATATAGCAGACCCCACACACAGCTTTTAAAATAGTTTTTAATAAACTTAAACATAGCCCATGTGAAATAGGTGCATGTCGCCATCATTGTGATGGTTGTTTGCACTTTCTTAAAACTGTGGCTGTTTGTACTCTTCTAATACAGTACAACAGGTACAACTTGTTCCGTTCTCGTAAGATAATTGCTTAAGGCATATGTATTCTATCTGGACTCTCTGTGTGCTTTTTAATTTTTCCCCAGAACTTTGTGGTAGTCCAGCGCTAGACTGTTACTCTGTGCAGGAGCTTCCTATAATAAAGACCTGTTTATTCTGCTCTCTCTCCTTGTGCATGATGACTGGTCTTGTATCTGCTCCCTCCTGTACTTTTCTGCAGGCAGCGTTCCAGCTGTACTTTAACCTCCCTGGCGGTATGATTATTTTGATTTTCGTAATTTTTTGGCGCAATTTTTTTCCGGATTTTTTTCATTATTTTATTTCTTCGTTTTTTCCGGGTTTTTTTTCGAATTTCCCGCCGGTTCCGCCCCCATGCGACGCGTCAGCTCGCAAGGGACGGAACCCGGAAGACAGATGCCGGCGCCGGCTGGAGGACACCGCACGGCTCGAGGGACAAAGTAAGTAAATACCGTGGGATATTCCCGAGTGTAGCTCAGGGTATGGAGAAGTAACCCCAGCTACACTCGGGAATACCGCCAAGGAGGTTAACTACAAATCCCAACATGCCTCTAACTCTGGGAGTCATGCGTATAACTGTCAGTCTTGCAATGCCTCAGGGCCCAAGTTGCCCACCCCTGCTGTAGTGAATGGGCCTGCTGGGTTGCTCCCACAGGTCATGTACAGCACAATGATGATGACACTGCTACTTACACAATGTAATATCTGGGTTTGCATAGATATTGGGTGCACACAAAGTAGATTTATATCCTTTGTGTCTACTAAGGAATATATTTAAATGAAAGTTGTTGTGCCTGGAATTCAGCTTTAAGCAACAAATGGCCATTCTGTATGTGTCTATAATCTAGACGATCTCTCAGTGAGAAAAAATGTATGATGGCAGGTCTGCCATCATTTTGGAAATCATGAACTGCTGCTAGTGGATTGGACTTTATAGTGACATTAAAGACTAAAGCCCCCGCCCCCCAACACATACACACACACAGTGCTAAAGTAAGGACTTACCTTAAATGATGTCTCTGAATCCGATCTTCTTCTTTCCCGTACTTTTTAGCTGTCCCCCCAGCGCTGGTGCGGGTCTCCGATCCAGCGCTGACTTCTCTGTCCTCCTCTTCTCTGATGTCTGTGCTGGTGTACGCTGCTCCATATACTTACCTTGTGTCTCTCGGCCGAACATCTGAACTGCACATGCGCCCGCCCCAAGATCCTTTGCGGCCACCCGAGAAAAGCACACAAAGGAAAAAAAATTGTCAACATGCTGTAAAGTTTCACCTGAAAAGTCTGGAACACAGTGGGCTGGAGTCTTAATGGCTGTGGCATTTCTTAGTCCTGGTACCACCCACTGTCAGTGAAACCATGTTAACTGTTTTCTACCAAAATTGCTCCTTTGGTGTGTATGTATATGTATTAATGAGTAGAGAGATAAAACTGTAAGCACCTCTGGGGCAGAGACTCCCATGAAAGGTTTAAGCCCCCTTACATTTCTTCTGGCTGTTGCAGTGTGTCAGTGTATGTTATGTTGTTAACATGTGTTATGTTAAAGGGTTTTTTTTTGCATAGATCTACTGCTAGCAAGCAGTAGATCTATACAAAAAGTTTAAAAAAAATGCTTTAAAAGCGGTTTAAACTTACCCCAGTCTTCGCCACGCGCTCCTGTCTGAAAATCCGAAACTGCTCGGGCAGCCGCAAAGCATCTTGGGGTGGGCGCATGCGCAGTTCGGATTTTAGGCCGGGAGACGAACACAAGAACGCCTCTAGTGTTAAAAATGCCAAACTTGCTATGTTCGATTCCTTATGGTAATTTCCTAATTTATTAACTACCGCTAATAAAAGCAAAACTATTGTTGCTGTGAACCCAAAAGTGGTCGAAGTCAAAGTGGAGCCCTTCCTGGTTCACTGAATGGAGAAAAGAGCAGGCATAGGATTTCTCCTCTGTGCTCCCTGTTGGCCATCCTGACACATCTATTGTGGTCCCCGGGCCACAACTAAATTATTTGCAGAGAGTGAAAATAACCCTCGAACACTAGATAAAACAGAATGTGTAATGTGGTTTTGCAGATCTCCTGTCTGTAAATTAAATGTTTTTTGAGGACCAAGGTGATTGAGTTGTTTAATGGGGGGCGGTATGCTATCTCTTGGTTGCAAAATGTTTTACCTGGCACTGATAGCTTTGATTTGTATGCAGTGATCACATGAAAACATTGTTTGCAGGGCCTAACCTATCTAGGCAATACTGTGCAAAGTAGTGTCTTTTATTAAATCAAACCGTATAGCTGCTACTTAGAGGTGTCAATGCGACAGTTAGTTGGCAAGCCCTACCTTTTACAAGCATAGATCTGTAATTACAGTGCTCATTATTAGGCAGTAAACATGGGCGCTATCAGTTAATTAGCTCTTACTAAGATGCAGTCGCTTTGATTAAATCAATGTCAAAGTTTGCGTTGAGAAAGAAGAAATACCGGTGTTGTGAAGCATAAGTGAACCTGAATGAGTTTATTTTTCTTTTTAAAGATTGCAGTCATGCCAAGTACAGTAGATCCATGTAATTTGTTACATGTTAGTTCTGGTTTGAAATATAATGGCAACTAAAAACCATTAAACTCTGAAACCATTTTTTCTTTTTTGGAGGAGAAACAGCTGTTCACAAATTTGCGATCTGCTTTTCAGGAACTTTGAAACTGTGGTAGGGATCCAACAATAATAAATCTGACTGTGGGTTTAAAGTGTATGTCAACGCATTGTTCTTGAAGTCCACACAATGATGTTGCGTCTAGTCATAAAACTTTGAAATTCTTAGTGATTTGGCTCAGCAATGGAAGGGAGAAAGAGTCTCCTTCCACTAGACTTTATATCTGTTCTGAGTAGGGAGGTTTGGGGCACTTTTTCTTTTTTGAACATTTAGAAGAGATAAAACATGATTATGTGATTGGGATAGCATCCAATACATGTAAGCAAGTCCATATGAATGCTGAAAAAATGGTAAAGGAAAGGGATAAGGGTTCCTTAAAGTGGACCTATTATTAGAATTCAAACTTTGCACATCCAAAGCCTGCAATGACCTTCTACCAGCTTTCCATGCTAACGCCAATGAATGATGAATATGCAGTGGAAAAATGGGATCTAATATTCCCATACAGCATCCAGAGAGTGGTGTCTGAGGCACCCACAAACATGGCCACCCATGTTTGTGGGTGTCTCAGACAGTACTATCAAAGATGCTCACCCAATCTCATGTTCTCAATCTCATGGGTGCCTTTATAAAACCAGTGGTAGTGCTGGGTAAATTTCACACTTTTCCAAAAGAAAAATGTAATGTTTTAATATTAGTAAATGAATAATTAGTCGCACAACACCACTATCTATTCGCATGGTTGATGAACCTGCCAAGATACCTAATATTAACTATCGCTCCTATGGGAAAAATACTGTAGGAACACTGCGTTTTTAAAATGCCTTGACATCATACTGCATAGAATCAGAAGAATTAGCAAATCACAATTTGTTTTCTCCTGAAATTCTTAAACTACTAATCTACCTTATGTGTGGATAAGCACACAATTCAGGAGTCAAAACAATTTTTATTGATAAATGATTTGATTCCCTGTAGACTTGGCATGTCTATTAATTATGGCGACTCAAAAAAAAAGCACTTTTGTTTAGGTCACGTTTCCAACAGAGATTTAAGATTACTGCAAATATTGCAAGATCAATTTGCACACCTACTTATGCAAATAATTTGCATATCACACAAAGAGAACCTTTCAGTTATAGGATAATCCTATTGTAAGAAACAGTGGGCTTCTAATGAAACTGGTAGGTGGAATATTCCAACTGCAATGCAGCATAATACAAAAGAACTTTCAGATTAAAACATCTATCATGTTTGCCATTCAGTTATACAACAGATTAGGAAAATAAAGAAATATATTGTCCTATAAACTACACAGTGTAAATAACTTATAAATCAAATGTAAATAACCTTCACTGCAGCAGATTGCTGCTAAGAGAGACTTGGTAAACATAGAACCTTTTCAATTGTTTCCTGCTAGAAAACAATCTGAGCTCCAACAACTTTTTTGGGGGTCGATAGGTGACCTTAGGGGCAGGGACGTGCGGTCAGGGGAGGCAGGTGAGGCAGAACCTCAC